CTTGATTGCTACAAACCTTTAACTGTTTTCTGGAGTTTTGATAAAGTTAGTTCTGACAGTTTCTGGTTGTTCTTTCAGTGTTTCTGTGGAAAGATGAAAGTTTGGAGCTACCTACTCTTCTGTTTTGCTGACATCACTCTTAATGAGTTTCTGTGTGTTTGTGTATATTCTGTCAGTTATTGAAAGAGGAATTTTTAAATTTGCCATCATGGTCATAGGTTTGTGTATTTCTTACTGTAGTTCTTTTGGTCTTTGCTGTATATTTTTTGAAGCTATGTTATTGGGTATATTCAAATTTAGATTTATCATGTCTGACTTGTGAGTTGAACTTTTAATATTACCAAGTATTTCTATTATGATGTTTTTTTAAAAAAATATATTTTTATTGCCCTGGCTGGTTTGGCTCAGTAGATAGAGTGTCGGCCTGAGGACTGAAGAGTCCCAGGTTCAATTCCAGCCAAGGGTACTTGCCCGGGATGTGGGCTCGATCCCCAGTAAGGAGTGTGCTGGAGGCAGATGATCAATGATTCTCTCTCATCATTGATGTTTCTATCTCTCTCTCCCTCTCCCTTCCTCTCTAAAATCAATAAAAATATTTTAAAAGAATAAAATAAAATATATTTGTATTTATTTCAGAGAGAAAGGGAGAGGGGGAGAAAGATAGAAACATCAATGATGAGAGAGAATCATTGATCATCTGCCTCCAGCACTCCCCCTACTGGGGATTGAGCCACAGTCTGGGCATGTTACCTGACTGGGAATCAAACTGTGACCTCCTGGTTCATGCGTCAGTGCTCAACCCCTGAGCCACGCCAGCTGTGTTCTGTTATTATTTTTGCCTTTAAATATACTTTGCCTGAAATTGTTATAACTGTACTAGGTTGTATTGGATTATTATTTGCATGGTGTATGATTTCCCATTTTTTACTTTCAGTCTTCCTATACCTTTGTTTTAGATGTAGCTCTTGTAAACAGCACATAATTTGGGTCTGTTTATTTTTTCTCTCTTTAAATTATTTTGTTTATTTACATTTAATGTAAATTATGAAAGTCTATCTTTTTCTTACCCATTTTCTAGACACTACAAAGACCATAAAACATTTTGACTGCATTTACTTCCCTCCTGGCATTTATTGTTTAAATTATGTATGGTCTTTCAATCCCACAACGCAGTTTTTTATACAGTTAGTTTTTATCCATTCCATGTTTACCAGTTGTGCCATTTCATTCCTTCTTGCTTCTGGTCTTCCATCTGGAATCATTCTGAAGATCCTTTATGTGTACCAGTGACTATTTTTTCAGTTTTGGTCTAAAAGTGTCTTTATTTCATTAGCATTTTTGGAGGATATTTTCAATAGTTATACAATTCATGTTGACATTTTCATTCCATTGTTATTTAGCTACACTTGTTTTTGTTGGAAGTAAGCTGCCAATCTGTATGTTGCTCCTTTGGAGATAATAAATGTTTTTTCTTCTGGTTTCTAATAGTTTAATTTTCAGAGGATTTGTTATGTGGTGCCCAAGAATATAAATTTTTATCCTGCTTAGACTTCAGAGGGCTTCATGACGCCAGGGCTTGATTTCTTTTTTTTCTTTTTTTTTTCTCTATAATTGTTTTTTGTTTTGTTTTTGTTTTTTCATTGCTAAAAGTATTACAAAGGGTTTTACATATGTGTCCATTTTATCCCCCCCCCCCTTGACAATCCCCCAGCCTCCCGTACCCCCCAGTGTCTTATGTCCATTGGTTATGCTTATATGCATGCATACAAGTCCTTTAGTTGATCTCTTACCCCCCTCCCTCCTGCCCCCCAACCCTCCCCGGCCTTCCCCCTGCAGTTTGACAGTCTGTTCGAGGCAGCTCTGCCGCTGTATCTATTATTTTTCAAAAGTTTATAACGGTCTCTATTATCCATGAATGAGTGAGATCATGTGGTATTTTTCCTTCATTGACTGGCTTATTTCACTTAGCATAATGCTCTCCAGTTCCATCCATGCTGTTGCAAATGGTAAGAGTTCCTTCTTTTTTACAGCAGCATAGTATTCCATCGTGTAGATGTACCACCGTTTTCTAATCCATTCATCTACAGATGGGCACTTAGGCTGTTTCCAGATCTTAGCTATGGTGAATTGTGCTGCTATGAACATAAGGGCTTGATTTCTTGATCAAATTTTATTTCCCCCATTATCTGTTCCCATACTGCTCCTGCTGCACTCGCCTCTCATCCTAAGACTCCAGTCCACTTGTAATTGTTTTGGGGTTTTTTTGAGAGGAAGGGAGAGGGGGAGAGAGAAAGAGAAACATTGGTATGAGAGCAAAACATCAATTGGCTACATCGTGCACTGGCCCTACTGGAGATTGAATCCACAACCGGGGCATGTACCCTGACCGGGAATTGAACCGGAAAACTTTTGGTGCATGGAAGGATGCCCAACCAGCTGAGCCACACTCTATCCTTGATCTCTTACATCTTTTGTCTCTTGATACTTTATTCTGGATATCTTTACAGTCTCCAGTTCTGTGTCCAAATTCTCAGTCTTCTTTCTCCTCCACTTCGTATTTTATAGTTTCCGTTTTCTGTTTCACCTAGTATTACCTTGTCTTTTCTTGTGACTTTTGTAAAATGCGTGGGGGATAGTATATTTGAAAATTTATCTGTAAAAAGAATTTGAAGCCTTAGAAGTAGGTTCTTTATTGTTTTTGTTTAAAAACAACTTAAAAGTTGAAATAACTCTTTATTGTTGACTTATTGGAGTTCTTTGTCTATCCTTCACCATGTACAGTGGACCCTTGGACAGTGCCAGGGCTGAGGGTGCCAACCCCCATGCCGCTGAAAATCCATATATGACTGTCATCAGCCTCTGTATATGGGTCCCCACTGCGCTGGAACAGCAGCTGGCCTTGAACAGCACAGGCTTGACCTGCTCAGTCACTGAGATGTGGGTTTTTCTGCTAGTCTGTGGCTTTTCTCTGTTTTCTTATTGTAAATATGTCTCTCTTCTCCGCATCCAGCATGGCTAGAGAGCAGGCCGGTTCCTGAGTAGGGGCGGCTGGGGATTGGGAAAATGAAAGAAAGAGATAGACACAGAGATGGAAGAAAAAAAGCTGGGGCCGGGTGGGACCACTGTCCTCTGATGATGAGACAGGGACAGGGACCCCGAGCCAATACAGCGTGTTTATTTTATACAGCAAAAAAACAGGAAGTTTTACTAAAAGTCAAGACAAAGGAGATTATGTGCATTCTTGGGTATTCATTCCTGGTACTCGGCTGGATTTAAATAACAAAACCTACCTCCTGGCACCTGGCTTTTGGCAAAGTGTGTTTCCAGGACATGGCTTTGCCAGTGCCACTGGCTGCAGCTGACAATAATTAAAGAAATGCCCATGTGCCTTCCCAGGCGCTCTCTACATCTTATGGTGAAAGTGAAATGGCAGGCCTTTTAATTTTGTTTATCAAATTATTTATGTTCAGGAATATTTTTGTCCTATTTAAGGAATCGTATCTCTTCCAAGACCAGGAGACAGTCTCCGTGTCCGCTGTTGCAGCCAGCCTGTGAGCACCTCGGATTAGCTCTGTGTGTGATGTGATGTGGGCTCAGGTCCCCCACGCACAGCTCCAGGCGTACAGCATGTTCCTTGTTCAGCAGCAGCTGTGCAGGCCCATGTTCTGAAGTCGTTGTCTTGTTCCACGGAGCCATTCTTTTATCCATGTGGCAATGCTACTCCCTCCGAATCACTGTGGCCTCATAGTAAGTTTCCTATCTGATTGTGTAAGACCTCCAGCATTGATCTTCTTCAAGAAGTTCTTGATTTTTCTAGGTTCTTAATATCTCCATGTATGTTTTAGAAACAGCCCATCAATTGCTACAGAATTGCCTGCTGGGATTTTAACTGGGATTGTATTGGGGTTTTGGGTTTTTTTTGTTTAACTGGGTGAGATTTGACATAGTAACAGTATTGAGTGTTCCTATGAACCTGACATATCTGTTCATTTGTCTTTTTTATTTTCTCTCAGCTAAGTTTTGTAGGGCTCAGTGTAAAGTTGTTATACATATTTCAGTAAATGCATTCCTCGGGAGTAGATGGTTTGGAATGCCAGTTGTAAATTGTATTGTTTTAAAATTTCATTCTGCAGGTGTATGTTAGCAGAGAAATGCAGCTGAGTTCTGTATCTTGTAACCTGCAGTCTTGCTAAATTTGCTTGTTAGTTCTAGAAATTGTTCACTCTTCGGGGTTTTCTCCATACACAATCTTGTCATCTGTGAATAAAGCTGGTTCTGCTTTTTCTCCGTCTGTGCTTCCACTCCTTCCCTTGCCTCGGCTGGGCCTCCCCACGCCTGTGGGCTGGAGCAGAGGGTCTGGGGGAAGAGCGAGAGCGAGAGCGCCCGCGGCTGTCCCTCCGGTGTTCCCGGGGCACACCCCGTAGTGGGTGAGGTTTTACCTTTTTTAGTTGCTGGATTCGATCTGCTAACACTGGGTTAGGGGATTTGAAGTTTGTTGGCCTCTGTTCTTGCTGCAGCTCCTGAGGTTTCCGCTTCAGAGCCTGCTGGCCTCCCGACCTCTCTGTTCACTGCCCGCCGCCCCCGCACTTCTGCTCTGGGGTGTGGGGAGCAGGGGGCTGCCCTGTCATTGGCTCGCACTCTGGGCACTGCCCCTCACAGCTCCTGGGCTCTGTCACCCTGTACGGCACTGACCAGTCAAATAGGAGGCCTTGGGTTGGGGTGCGTGGTCTCTCGCGATGCCCTCAGAGGTCTGGCCTCCGCAGTGGCTCTGGCCTGTGAATGGCGGGAGTTTGGCCCAGAGGTGCCCGGGCTGCAGATTGGAGAGTGCGGAAAGGCAGGCCTCTGCTTCCTGCCCCTCACTGTCACACTGGTGTCTGCTGTCAGGAGGCGCCCATGGCAGGTCTTGGGACACTGTCCCCTGAGGATGGGGACACTGCAGGACCCGGGCCGCTGGAGGCCAGCTGATCCAGCCACATGTGCCCCCCCTTCTTGTCTTGTAGATGAACACACCTCGAGCAGCAGTGGGGACACCATGTTTGGCCCTGGCGTCCGGCCCTCTACCCACCACGGTCATTCCTGGAACTGCCCTGGCCCTGCCCGTGCCCATGCCAGGTACTGCCCTCTCTGGCCTCTCCACCCCACCCTGTGCATGGCCTCTGGGCCAGTATAGAAGCCCGCTTCCAGCTCCTGTGTCCTGGGGTCCCTGGGCCACCCAGGCTGGCAACCGGAGCTCTACCTGGGGGCCGGGCGTGGGCACAGCCGGGGGGCCCATGCTTCCTGAGTTCCTGTGGCCACCTGTGGTCAGCATGCCGGGCCCCAGGCCGTGGATCCTGTAGCTCTGTCTAGCCACTTGCCAGACGGAACGTGTTGAACTGAATGCCCATAGGAGTCGGGCTGTGGTTTGGCCTGCTGCTCCTGCCCTACCTGCCCGAGGTGCCCAGGGAAGGGCCTGCTGCTGACCCCACTTACCCCCAAGGTTCCCATAGGCCACACTCACCGTCTTGCATCCACTTTCTGTACTTGAATCGAAGCTTAGCACGTTGTAATCGCCCTGCAGGATTACAGTGCCTGGGACTCCAGTTTTCCTGTTCACTGATGGAAAGAGATGTGTAAAATCATGTCAGGAAAAGGAGTATTTCATTGACAACAGGCTTGTGTGTTGATACCTTATTTCCCATTTTAAGTTGCAGAGAGAGATCAGTGGTTTACAAATCGGAAGCTGCAGTCTGACCTTTAGGTGCTGTAAGTGGTCATTTTTTAAAATTGAACTAGTGACCTTGACTATGAAGAGCTGCAGATGGTGGGGAGCCCTGCTTCCTGCGTGTAGGAGGCCTCTCTGGCTCCACGTCCCTGGGCGCAAACATGGGCACACCCACAGCTGCAGGCGGGCACTGCCCGGCGCCAGGGTGCGTGGTCCCGGCCGTGCGTTTGTCTCAGTGAGGAACGTTAGCAGCTGTGTTTGGCTGTGTGGAAGCTGCTGGAAAGTGCTAGGTGAGCCGACAAGCCCTCGGGCCCACAGCCAGGCAGGACTGCTGTGAGCTGGGAGGTGAGGGTGTCTGCTCCTGGGAGCTGCCTCCTTCCTGCAGACACAGCACCCCCTTGGCTCGGCGCCCCTCCTCCTGCTGGCCTCCTTCTTTTCCCCAGGCCTGGGGCTGCCTGTGCCAGCCTCTATGGCCTGCTCTACCCCTGCATATCCCCTCCCCCACCCCTGGAGCCCCAGGCTGCTCTCCAGATTCCATGGCTGCCCAGCAAGGGGCAGTGGGACTGGCCCAGGGCAGCAGGAGCCTGGCGGGAGCTGGAGGCCCTGCCCCTCACTGGCCACTGCTCGGGAGGCCCTGGGGGCTGCGCAGCTGTGACTGCAGACACCTGTCCTGGGACCTCGCTAGCACGGCTCACTTGCTTTGGTGTCTGTCTTACTCCGTCAGTTCAGTGAGGATTGACTTGTGGGGAGGTTGTGCAGCATCTTCTGCCGGCTGCGCGCGCGCCACTTCTTTCTCCATGAGGGGCCCCTCGTCTCTTGTTGAGTTTTATGTCTGGAAGCCCCACCCGCGCCCTGCAGCCCACTGCACCCTCGGGAGTGTTGGCGCTCGGCCTTGTCCACGCAGGGCCAGTGGCACAGAATCCCCAGGAGACTGTATATGAAGGAGAAAAATAAACATTTTTGTTGGAAAATAGTGTGAAACCACATTTTTCTTACTCTGTGTCCACATAAAAGCTGAAGCAGCGAGCCTCACAGGGAGGACAGGAGGCGGCAGCCGGGTGGGCGGGCGGCAGGGGCGCCGTCGCCCGTGGAGTCAGTCTCGGGAGACGTGAGTGGGGTCCTGTGGACTCGGGCCTCTGCTCCACCCGCGGGTGCGCCTGGGCCCCGAGGAGGGCGGCCTCCTCACTCTCCACCTCTCTGAGCCTGAGCTGCGTGCCGATCCGGGGGCTCTGTCCATGGACTGCGTGAGCCTCATGGTCAACCAAACGGGATTCCCACCCCTGTCCACAGGGGCTGTTTCCAGGAAAGCTGCGTTGGCGGGCCCTGCAGGGGGAGGGCCAGACCTAGCCTTGTGAGAGGAGGGTTGGGGCTGAGCCACCCACGGTCATGGAAGTGCCTCTGTTGTACGGGAGGCACAGGGCCAGGTGCCGGCTGGGTTTGGGAAGGGTCCTCCTCCTGACCGGCCCCCTTCCGCTCCCCCCTCCCCCGCCCTGTGGGACTCAGCGTGTGTTTCTGGCCTCTCGCTCCGTGGCCTGGGCCCTGCACTCACAAGCTGGGGTCACAGTGCCTTCTGTCCACCGGCGAGGCGGCCGCCCATCTGCAGGCCTCACTCCCACTCCCGCTGCCATGCAGTCGGGTCTGGGGCCTCTGCTCCGGAGTGGGGACCCCCGGCTGCCTTGGGTGCCTCCGCTCACTGCTGGCCTTGGGCCGAGGCCGGGCAGCTCGTGGAGGCTGTGCCGCGGGAGCCGGAGGCAGGTCTCCCCCTGACCGCCCGGGGGTGGGGGGCTGGGGGTCCTGGCTGGTTCGGGGAGCTGCTTAGTGTGTGGGCGGCCGGCGGGCATAGGGCAGGCCTCCCAGGAACGGAGCCCCACTCCCCAGGCCGGGGCGGCCAGTCGGGCCTGTAATGAGCTGTGGTGGTTTTGTTTTCTAGATTCTGAGAGTGAGAAGCCCAGCTGAGCCCAGGCAGGCTGACCCGACCCCGACGCCAGGCCAGGTCGTCTCACGCAGAGAAGGCGAGTGCGCCTCGTGTCCACTCACATTGTTTTGTAATCACTTTCTAAGCATTTTTTTTATTCACAATTGGAAACACAAATGTAATGCAAGAATAAAGAATATTTTGGGGGAAAAAGGACTTTGGTTTTTCAAACTCTCCTTTTCAGTGGCTCCCAGAGGAGCAGACGGCCTGAGACGGCAGCGGGGTGGGGGTAGGGGGGTGCTGGAAAGCTCGGGGACCACAGGGCAGTCTGGGTGCCCTTGGCCGAGGGTTCTGGGTGGTGATGAGCTTTGCAGTGTCCGGGGCGCTGCAGTGCCCTGGTCACCCCCAGCAGCAGCCGGAGAGGTCAGAGGGGCGACATGGCCACACACCTTGGAGAAGCAGCCTCAGCCCTGGGTGGCAGGGGGCCTGGCCCTTTCCAGGTGTCTCCCCCTCGGGCCCAGGGCACGCCCATTCTTTCCGGGTCCCTGGAGGCGGAGCAGCGGGGCCTACCTCAGGTGATGACGCAGGCCTGCAGGACTCTGACCTCTGCACGCTTCGCTCCATCCATTCCGCCAGCCTTGGCTCTCCTGCTCCGGACACTTGGTGTGTGCCCCCCCACACACACTGGCACGAGCATCCCAGCGGCCTGAAACACTCTTCGTCCTGAGTCCACAGTGCAGGTCTGCTGTCCCCCGTGGCCCTGGGCACGCTGTGAACGGGGGCAGCCTGCGTGTCGTCCCACAGGGTCGGGTGGAACCCAGCCTGGCCCGGACCGCTCATACTGGGGCCAGGCCAGGGCCTGGGCAGGACGCGGGCTCCATGCTGGGGTGGGAACTGCATCCTTGTTTTCCCTGATTTCCAGGTAGCAACTGAGGGCTTGCTTGGGGAGGAATGGGGGGTCGGGATATCAGCACCTGGGGTGTCGCCGCTGGAGCCCCAGGTGCTGTGAACGATGTTGCAGCCGTGGCAGGTGTCCCCAGACGTCATTGACGCTCCTCACAAAACGCCAGCCCTGGGCCGCGCTCCTGTCCAGCCGCCGGTGAAAGGTGAGTGGGTGGCCTCCTGCCTCCCGCAGCCCCCCAGGCTCACGGACGCCGCGGGCTGCCCACCCATCTCTCACCAGTGGACCTGCCCGTCTGCGCCTGGGCCTGCTCTGCCCTGTGGTAAGCAGAGGCGCATGGCGCAGCGGCCGGGACGCAGTCCTGGGTTTTCACTCTGGTTTGTTCTCCCGTCATCTGTGACTCATGTTACTGGGTTTCTCTCAGTTTACCTTTATTTAATTCATCCCTTTTAAGAAGTAACATACAGGTGCTAATGGTAAAACTTGGTACGATAGTAGCTAATGGTAAATGGGGGGATAATACAGGAGCTGATGGTAAAAGCTGCGTGGGCAGAGGGACCCGTCACACCCCACCCCGTGGAGAGCGTGCCCGGCAGCCCCCGTGCAGCCAGTCTGCCCCCACACTGGGAGCATTGGCTTGTCCCGTGAACGGGCGTGGCCTCTGGAAGCTCCGCACTGCAGGTTGATCCGCCCAGGCCAGGCCAGGCCAGCGACGGGACGGCCAGGCCACCACCCGGGGCCATGGATCCTGCACACCCAGCCTCCAAAGCCCCCAGGTAAACCCAGCCCCTGGTGGTTTTCATCAAGGGTGTCTGAAGGCAGAGACGGGGTGGGGGGTTGGGGAGCAGGGGGGCGGTGAGCTGTGCAAGCCTCAGCGTTTTCCTTCGTCTCATTCATTCAGTTTCTGATGTTGCCTTGTCTGGTGCCTTCACCACTGGTCAGTGACCTGACCAGGTTGAAGAACCAAGATTCTGCAAAATATCTCATAATTGTGCATCTTTGAAGCAAAAGGCAGACATTGAGGTTGTGTTATCATTGCCGTTGTGTAAGCCGTCGTTGTTTTATGCTTAGCTGGCTGCATGGTTCTGTCCTCTCAGCAAAGTTAGCTTTAAGCATTTCTCCTGGGACTGGCTTTATAGGCAGGTCTGCGAACATGGCTCACATTGTTCATAAACTTTGACCATAAGTGACTAACATATTTTCTTAAGTTTTGACTAAGCTATGTCACAGCCAAAGCAATTAAAACACTTAGCCCAGACGACATGGCTCAGTGGTTGAGTGTCAACCTTTGAACCAGGAGGTCACAGTTCGATTCCCGGTCAGGGTGCATCTGGGGGTTAAACTACCTGATTTAAAAGTGTACTATGAAGCCACAGGGATAAAGATTGTGTGCTAATGGCATTAAGATAGCTTAGTAAATCAATGGGCCACAATAATATTTGGACACCTGATTTTCAACAAAAGCACAAAGGCAATTCAGTTACGAGAGGATCTTTTCAACAGATGGTTTGGGACAATTGGCTGTCCCTGTGTAAAGTCTAAAACTGACCCATACTTCTCCTTCTATAACAATCAAGTCAACATGGGCATAGGCCCAAGTATCTAATCTAATAAAAGACAAACATGCAAATTGACTGTACCTTGGCTACAACTTAAGCCACACCCACCAGCCAATCAGAGCAACTATATGCAAATTAACCCAACCAAGATGTCGGCCGGCAGCCACGGAGCTGTAGCAAGCAGGAGGCTTGGTTGCTCCAGTGATGGAGGAAGCCAAGCTTCCCGCCTGCCACAGCCGGCTCTGAGCTCAACTCAAGGCAACAAAGTTGCAATTATAGAAGGTAAATAAACCCCAGATACCTGCTTTCAGCCGGCCGTGGCCACAGAGCTGGGGCGAGCAGGAGGCTTGGGTTGCCCCTGGTGATGGAAGAAGCCAAGCTTTCTGCCCGCCCTGGCCTGCTCTGAGCTCCACTCAAGGCTACAAAGTTCAATTATAGAAGGTAAATAAATCTCAGAATAAAAAGAAAAAAGAAAAAAAGGAGAGGCTGGGAGCTTCTGTTGCCGGGGGGCTTGGCCAGCCTGAAAACGGCCCTCAGCCCCTCACCCAGACTGGCCAGGCAACCCAGTGGGGACCCCCCCCACCCTAAAGAAGGTGTGGCCAGCCTGAAAACAGCCGTCAGCCCCTCACCCAGGCTGGCCAAACCTCCATTGGGTGAGGGTCCCCACTGCGGGGGGGTTGACCAGCCTGCAAACACCCATCAGCCTCTCACCCAGGCTGGCCAGGCACCCCAGCGGGACCCCCACCCTGATCCAGGACACCCTTCAGGGCAAACCAGCCGGCCCCCACCCATGCACTCAGCCTCTATCCTATATAATAAAAGGGTAATATGCAAACTGACCCTAACAACAGAACAACTGGGAATGACTGGTCACTATGACACACACTGACCACTAGGAGGCAGACGCTCAATGCAGGAGCTGCCCCCTGGTGGTCAGGGCGCTCCCACAGGGGGAGCTCTGCTCAGCCACAAGCCAGGCTGATGGCTGCCAGTACAGCGGTGGTGGTGGGAGCCTCTCCCGCCTCTTCAGCAGCGCTAAGGATGTCTGACTGCAGCTTAGGCCTGCTCCCCGCTGGCAAGTGGACATCCCCCGAGGGCTCCCGGGCTGCCAGAGCGATGTCTGATTGCCGTCTTAGGCCCAATCCCCCGGGGAGCGGGCCTAAGCCAGAAGGTGGTCATCCCCCGAGGGGTCCCAGACTGCGAGAGGGCACAGGCCGGGCTGAGGGTCTCCCCTCACCGCCCCCCCCCCCCCCCCCCGCTGAGTGCACAAATTTTTGTGTGCCGGGCCTCAAGTAAAACATAAAAGTGTAAAAATTTTAGAAAAAATTAAAAGGTCTTTATGACCTTGAGCTAGGCAAAGATCTAGATACAATACCAAAAGCACAATACATTTTAAAAAGAACCCTCATGAATCAGAGTTCATCAAAATTAAGTACTTCTGTTCAAAATACACTGTTAATAGAATTAAGAGACAAGCCACAGACCGATACCTGATAAAGAACTTGTATCCAGGCATAAAAAATTCTAAAACTGCCATAACAAGAACATAAACCAATTCTCAAAAATGAGCCAAGGATTTAAAGAGATACTTCACCAAAGAGAAGTTATGAATGGCAAAGAAGCAATGCAAAGCCCTCGCTGTCATTAGCCATCACAAGCACATTGATGTAACAGCAGAGACACGGCCGCGCTCCCGGAAAGGCGGAGCGAGGAGCACCAGGCACAGGTGCTGGGAGGTGTGCGGGGCCAGGACTCCTGCTGCTGGTGGGAGTGCCACATGGTTCCAGTCCTTTGGGAAACCATGTGGCAGTGTCTTAAGGAGTTAACTGTGTGTTCGCCCTGTGGCCCAGCTTTCCCACTCCTGGCTGTTCACCTAGGACAGTGGTCAGCAAACTGCGGCCCCTTGAATGTGGCTCTTCCACAAAATGCCACGTGCGGGCGCGCACGTACAGTGCAACTGAAACTTAGTGGCTACACTCAAGGGGCCAAAGAGCCGCATGTGGCTCGCGAGCCACAGTTTGCCGACCACTGACCTAGGAAAATGAAAGCTGTCCACGCCGAGGCTGCATGTGAGCGTCACAGCAGCTTTAGCAGAGTCGGGCACTGAGGAGGAGCTGGACCCCAGCCGTCCATCGAAGGCAGCAGTGGACACCTCGCGCTCTGCCCTTACATCGATGGTCAGTGACGGGGAAGAATGTATCCAACAAAATGGATAAATCTCAAGTGTGGGCCAAGTGAAGACACAACCAAACAGGAGTACCCGCAAACCATATGTGATCATATGTGATGATGTTACTTGGTGCGGAGGGCCTCGTCCTCTCCTGCTGCTCATGGGAGTGGAATTTTTGTGAAATCCCAAGAAAAAGAGTTTCTGAGACTCACACAGGAGGATGAGTAATTTTTATTTGTGTGGAATCAAATCCATGAGTTTCCAAGGTCCCCTCTCCCTCAGTCCCACCATAGAAGAAGCGTAGCTGGGACTTCAGTAGAGCTCCAGTCAGAGCCAGAGTCCAGTTTCCTTTCCATGTTGGA